ATGATCACTTTTGACCGCCAGATGGCATTTTTTTTTACTTTTTTTACTAGATCTCCGAAACCGCTTGACCTGCCTTCATAAAAATTTGATCATTTTGTTAACACAAGTAAAATGTTTTTTGAATTATCCAAATTGGGCGCTCCGTTCTCTTAAAAACTGAGTTACCGTTTTGGGCACTTTTTGCCCCATATCTTCGGAACGGCTAGACCTGCCTTCGCCAAAAACTAATCAGGACGTCTTCTTATTAATACGAATCGAATGTTTCTTGAATTATTCAAATCGCTTCATCCGTATTCCCGAAATCGTCGACAAAAATTTGTATCTGAACACACATACACACATACACACACGCACACACATACATTCATTTTTTCTGAGGTATGCCAAAATGTTCAGAAACCTTCGAAACGTCGAGAAATGCAAAAATTTTCATTCTCGATTTTCGGCCCATTACTAAAACTACCCTACGGGAAGTTAATAAAATGCTTTTTTATTTGAATAAACTTTATCAATATAATTTCATATATAGATTGCATCTCTTACATTTTTACATTTCATATATATTATCGATAATAAGCAAATGTGATGTGCACAATAAATGCCAAAACGACAATCACAAATAATCAACTATCTTTCAAAAACTACTTGCTAAATATATATTTATATTTACGTATGATAATGTTAATTGAATAATAATAGTAATGTTTATATTTTTTGGGAATGTTAAACTTTGGTATAATATATTTGTTAGTTTCATTGAATTGACATAATTCACAGTTTTGAAATTAAATATATAAATATATATAGATATATGATATAATTAACGTTATTTACATAAGCAGTATTATTAATATATTTAGGCAATTTTTATACATTTTTGCAAAATGGATTTTATCAATATTTTGAAAAATTGAAGAGAAACATATAAAAATAGCCTATGTTATGACATTATTAACTTCTACAACTAATTAAGATTTAAATACACTTAATATATATAGTTATAATACATTTCATTTTTTATCAGTATTTAAATTAATTAATAATTTTAAATTGATTTTTTTCCCTTCTTATTAATGAACATATATATTTAATCAATACGCAAATTGTTGCTATTTGCGATTAGTTTTATTTAAATTTTTAATATCATTGTATATACAAAAAATTATACTAATATTTAGTAAATTTTGTCTAGTTTCTGCTAAACTAAATAAAAAATAATGACCGGAACAAAAGTTTTATGTTATTTGAACAAACATAAAAAATGTCCGAATTCGGCCGGATAAAGCTCGAAACATAAGAACAAGTTCTTAGTTGTTTCATTTTTTGTCAAATAAATTTGTATAGGGGTATATAAAACAGTTTATGCAGAACTTTAGTGAATTTTATCTAGTTTCTGCTAAGCTAAATAAAAAATAATGACCGGAAAATTTTTATGCTATTTAAAGAAACGTAAAAAAATTACCCGAATTACCCGGAACAAAATTTTCGTGTTTTTCAAACAAATGCAAAAAGGTGTCCCCAATTCATACCAAATACATAAGAACGTGTTCACACTAGTTTTATTTTTTTACAAAATTTTTGTTCTGGGGCAAATAAAACAGTATAAGCAAAACTTTAGTAAATTTTATCTTGTTTCTTCGGAACAAATTTTTCGTGTTATTCAAACAATTGCAAAAAAGTGTCCCCAATCCATGCTCAATACATAAGGACGAGTTCACACTAGTTTTATTTTGTAAATAAAATAGTTTATGCAGAACTTTAGTAAATTTTATCTAGTTTCTGCTAAGCTAAAAAAAAGTAGAGTACCCGGAACAAAATCTTCATGTTATTTAAAAAAACGTAAAAAAAATGTCCCGAAATCTACGTTGACCTACGCTTTTATAATTTGTTACGTAATGTTATGGAAAAATATTTCCATTTCAAAATCCAATATTTTAAAAATATTGTTGAGAAATTAAGTTTATACAGAATATTATCTTATACGTTATAACTTATAACTAGAAAAAATATTATAACTATATAATAGTATATATATTAGGTTGTCAAATATCTCCCTTCCGCTTTTTTGCTCTTGGTTTATAATACAAAAAGGCGGAAGGGAGATATTTGACATATAATTATATATATATATATATATATATATATTTATATAGTTTTAAATATATACATATGTACATTCTTATAAAAACTCTGTTTTGAAATTTGAAAATCGTTAAACATCTTATAAATGTCTAACATAATATTAAAAACTAAACTTTTAAACTATTATACTAATACAATAAATTATTTAGATTTCATCGAGAAAAAACACATAACGATATTTAACAAAACATTTTTATAACTATTCTAAAATTAGTTGAACAATGCTTTCAATGGTGGACAAACAGTAAATAAATTAAATTATAGATACAACTGAATACTATTAAATATATATATAATATTTATTTATTTATTATACCTTATAACGATGACATATGATTAAGACCATTCGTTTCTTGAATTCCACAACTGTTAACATTATAAGCGCTGTCCTTTAACAAATCTTGCAGGCGAAGAATTTCTTTACCGGCTGCTGCCAAATCTCCTTGAAGTGCCAATTCACGTTCTCTGAGACGTTTGATGTCACGTTGACATGTCTAAAATTATTATAACATCAATTATGAAATAATATGCCTATAATCTTCTATATATATAAAAATAAGTCGGGTTTTCCTTCCTGACGAAATAACTCCAGAACGCACGGAACCGATTTCGACAATTTTGCATTCGTTGGAAAGGTCTCGGGCTCCGCAAGGTTTATAGCTAAGAAAATTAGTGGTGCATGACATCGTACTTTAATGCAAGCTGCTGGAACTTCATGCACCGTAATTAAAAATTCGAGTAATGACATTAGTGAGAATTATCAGAATTATGCTTGGTTAAGTCAACAAGCAATTCTTGCCGCAAAGAATAATGATGTACACGCACTGAATTTCACCATTCAATCAAAAATTGCTAGCGATTTGGTGGCATACCAATGATTCCGACTGGTCTTCCGTTTGACTTCAAACGATTGCAATTTCCAGTTCGCCTTGCGTTCGCAATAACAAGTCGCAAGGCCAATCGCTTAGAGTTTGCGGGATAAATTTCAAACTGATTATTTAGAAAATCATTGTTTTTCACATGGGCAGTTATACGTTGCCTGTTCACGAGTTCGAAAACCATCCGCTTTGTTTGTGTTAACATGAGACCAAAAAACAAACTAGCGGTGTATGGCATCGTGCCTTAAGGCAAGAAATTTTAAACGTTTTCAAATATATTATTACAAATACTGTAACTTTCATTATTTTTGCTATCTTGTTATATCCGAGCAAATCAAATGTAAATCATAAATAAATCAATGTATCTCCAGAACATTAACAATCGTCATTTCATTTCGAATTCAATTTCAAAAAAATAGTTGCCCAAAATTTGGCAAATAATTCTGTGCGATATTTTCACTTATACTGTGTTTAGCTTGGCGGCATTTTTATATTTTTCAATAGTTTTCACAAAATTGGAAAATTGCTCCCATATCGTCACAATCTAAACGCACTTGCGAAAACATTTGTACCAGATTGTCACTTAGACTGTACTTAGTTTGGGTAATTTTGGTAATTTTTAACCCAAAAAAACACATTTCTATAATTTACATGAAATTGAAAAACAAACAGTCTAAACGCACTTGAGAAAACATTTGTACCAGGTTGTCACTTAGACTGTGCTTAGTCTGGGTCATTTTTGGAATTTAACCCAAAACTAGCTGTAAGTGAAATTCTGTCTTAAGGCAATTAAGCATCGTGCCTTAAGGCAAATTGCTGGAACTTCCCGTATCAAAAATTATTATTTTTTTAAAAACGATTAACATTTTTGAAAAAATTTTACTTCGAAAAAATAAGATTTTTGAAAAACTACAAATTGGATAAAAAATTATTTTTTTTTTAAAAAAAAATTCAGAAAAAACATTTTTTTGAATTTTTTTTTCACACACACACACACATACATCCATTTTTTTAAGGTATGCCAAAATATTACGGGAAGTTAAAAATGTGGTTTACCAAAGAGCACTTCAATGAAACGGATAATTTGCGGATTCACTTTCATTTACTTAGAGAAGTTCAACTAAAAAACACTTCATTTTTGTAATCGAAATAAATTCATTACTGTTGTATAACAAAATAAAATTTTTCCTTTTCAAATATAAAACAAACAAAAATTCTTCATCTTTCTCACGAAACCATCTGGTGGCGAAACGGAGTTCGTCGGGTTTACTAGTTTTATATAATTTTAAAATAATTTTAAAATAAATACTAGATTCCTTATCAATTATCTTACCACATTCTGTCTCAGCAAATCCAACTTATCGCACTTCAATCTGGTGACCTCCTGTTTCAACGAATCCAGCAAATCGAATTCTGATTCTGATCGCCTGCAGTATTGCTTTCCAGACTGTCCTGTTGAGTCTGCTCGCATTCTGAATCTTTTGTGACAAAGTTGCTTTCTATTGAATTCAAAACTTCGTTGTTTGAAGGCGATGAAGACGATATCATTTCTTGAGGAGGATTTTGGCAGAGACCGCAGGATCGAGGTTGGGCTTCGGCTGAAGACATTGATTCTAAACCTGTATCGCTGTCTACATAAGTCCCACCTGGTAGTAATAGAAATAGGTGTTAATCTATATTGCAACAAATGTTATTATTAACTTCCCGTAGGGTAGTTATAGTAATGGGCCGAAAATCGAAAATGAAAATTTTTACATTTCTCGACGTTTTGAAGGTTTCTCAACATTTTTGGCATACCTCAGAAAAAATGGATGCGAGTGTGTGTGTGTGTTTGTGTTTTGTATGTCCGCATTTTTTCGTTCTTGGGAGCACGGATCAACCGATGTGAATGGTTTAAAAAACATTCGATCTCTATTGATAGGGAGATGTGCCTATTAGTTTTTGGCAAAGGCAGGTCCAGCCTTTACGGAGATACGGAGCAAAGAGTGCAGAAAATAGAAATCGAGTTTTTGAGAAAACGGAGTATCCGATTTGAATGATCTGAAAAACTTTCTGCTTGTTTTGACAAAACAATTGCTTTTGAGGATAAAAAATTATTACATCTGTGTATCTTATAAATTTGTGAGAAAACTATTGAAAAATGTGAAAATGCCGCCAGTCTAAGCACAGTATAAGTGAAAATGTCGCACAGAATTATTTGCAAATGCGTTTAGACTGTGACTATACGCGAGCACTTTTTAAATTTTGTGTAAATTAGGCAACTATTTTTTTTTAAATTGAATTCGAAATGAAATGACGATTGTTAATGTTCTGGAGATAAATTGATTTGTGATTTACATTTGATTTGCTCAGATATAACAAGATAGCAAAAATAATAAAAGTTACAGTATTTGTAATAATATATTTGAAAACGTTTCGAATATTTCATTACGGTACGGGAAGTTCCAGCAATTTGCCTTAAGACACGATGCCATAACTCACTAGTTAACTTCCCGAAGGAGTAGTTTATGTTTTCATCAAAAAATCCGATTCGCTAATTTTATATTTTCTCGACGTTTCAAGCCATTCTGAATCGAATGAGACCAAATTTGGAAAAAGTATGTGTGTGTGTGCGCGTGTGTGTGAACAGACTTTTTGCCGTGAATCAACGTTTTCTCTAAAACGGCTGGACCGATTTCAAAAATTTAAAAGCCATTCGATGTATCTCGTTGAAGACTAGTGAAAACTTTTGAGTTTTGTGCGACAATCGGCCGGGCCGTTTCTTCGTAAATCGCAGAAAAGTGAAAATTTTTTCGTCCACGTTTTAGCCCGCAATTCTGAATCGATTTTGAAAATTCAAAAACCGTTCGAAAGATGTTGGTTGGGAATCGTGCTTATTAGTTTTTGGTAAAGATCGGCCGGGCCGTTTTCTTGTAAAAAAGTTTTTTTTTAAAAAAAATCGGCGATTTTTATGATTTTTTTTACGGTAGATACCATAGTCTTCTAGATCAAACTAAAATATTACCCTTTAGCTTTAAAAATTCGTCAAAGTTTGCAAAAATTGGTATCGCTTTTTTGGCATTTGTCAAAATTAGACTTTTGATCGACGTTTTCTCAAAAACGCCTGAACCAATTTTAGAAATTTAAAAGCCATTTGATGTATTTTGGTGAGGACTATCGTTTGTCAGTTTTGTGCGACGATCTGCCAAGACGTTTCTTTGCAATTTCGAAAAAAGTGTTAAACCTTTCGTCCACATTTAAGCTCATACTACCGAATCGTTTTTAAAAAATCAAAAACTGTTCGAAAGATATTAGTTGGGAATGATACTGATTAGTTTTAGGTGAAAATCTACCGAGCCGTTTTCTTGTAATTAACTGTTGAAAAAAAAATTGAAGCCGATTTTCATGGAACTTTTTTTGGCGATATACATCATGGTCTTAGAGAACTTACTGTAATATTACGGCAAGTAGTCTAATTTTAAAAAAATCGTCAAACTTTGCTAAAATTATTATCGTTTTTTTTTTAAAGTAGGATTGATAAAGTATATTATTTACACATTTTTTTGGATTAAGTCGATTATTTACACATATCGGGAAGTTCATGTAACTTGCCTCAAGGCTAAATACCAAACCAACTAGTTTATATATCAACTTACCAAGTGGATCCAAGTCGACACTGTTCAGGGAAGAATCATCGCTGGTTTCAGACATTGCAATAGTTGGTGCATTCGATAGAGAACTCCTATTGTTATTAATATTATTGTATGATCTTCCATTGGAATCAGTTGGTGATTTGTTGATCGATGAAGAATGTTTGTTGCTGTGCTGTTTGTTGCTTGAACCGTTGATACTCATCGATCTTCCACTCTAAAAACAGAAAGATTTAAGTTATATTGTTATCGAAATGTAAAATTACAGCTTAATTTGTATCAACTTACATTAGGTGTAGTCGGTATATTTTCTGTTATTACTAAAGACATGTCTTTAGACCTTTTGTATGTAAGAGGCTGATGTCTGTGATCCAGAGGCGGACTGTTGTCTGAACTCTGCGATTTGACTCTGGATGTCAGCACCTTTTTCACCGTGTCTATGAATCGTGAACCAGCACCACCTAAAAAAATCATTTTTATAATACTATTCTCTTAAAAACCGTATGACCAATTTTACACCCTTTGCGCTCCGTACCTCCGAAAATTGTCCAGACTAAGCTCAGTCTAAGCGCCACTCTGATACAAATGTTTACCCAAGTGCGTTTAGACTGTTTATGTATGGACCACTTTTCCAATTTTGTGAAAACTATTGAAAAATGTGAAAATGCCGTCAATCTAAGCATAGTATAAGTGAAAATGTCGCACAGAATTATTTGCAAATGCGTTTAGACTGTGACTATACGGGAGCACTTTTTACATTTTGTGTAAATTTTGGCAACAATTTCTTTTTTAAATTGAATTCGAAATGAAATGACGATCTGAAGATGAATTGATTTATGATTTACATTTGATTTGCTCAGATATAACAAGATAGCAAAAATAATGAAAGTTACAGTATTTGTAATAATATATTTGAAAACGTTTAAAATTTCTCGGATATTTCATTACGATACGGGAAGTTCCAGCAATTTGCCTTAAGACACGATGCCATACACCACTAGTTTACAACATATTTGTGATTTTGTTGAAAATATATATTAAACGCGTATATTTGGTTCTCATTTCATTTATACAAATTAATCAGGTTTATCTTCTCTATATCATCTTTATTATATATGAAATTCTTCTGTACGTGTGTATGATTTGATACTTTTCCTAAACGGTTAATCGGATTTTGATAAATCTTTCTGAAGTTTGTTAAAGAAATTTTGTAGGATGTATATGATTATAAAAATATAGTAATATTGTAGAAATAAATGGAAAAAATTACAAAAATCGACATGTCATTGTTTGACATTGAAAATATTAGAGACATTGTTTGGAATTGAAAATAAATTAAAACACTCATCTGCCAAAAAATTCTATTCACTTATGAGCCTAGACAATATAAGAATGTGCATAATAAAATCATGATTATGAATAAGAAAAATTAAATGTCTACATTATTATTGCCAAAAGCAGCTGAGATGTGCTAGAAATTGGAATAATATAAATTACAGTATATGTATGGAAGATTCAATGTTACACATATGAACAGGATTTGACAAATTCATTTAAAATGAGAAATTAAGTAATAATCAAGGCCAGTCCTATCTTAAATTGCAAGCGCACGCATTAGGGGGCGCCAAAACAAGATGCGGCTATAAAATTTTCAATAGTTTTTTTTTCATATAATTCAAGACATATATAATTTCTTTGCATATTTTACTAATCTTTGCACAATATTTTTAAAATACGTTAAAAATTTCACTTTAAAACAACAAATGGGTAAGTAAAGATGAATACATACAATTCGGCCCTTATGATATCACTTAGGAGAAGTTTAAGATGCAATTTTGGATATTTTAAATAATAAAAAATGAAATTAAAATAATACAACATGAAGTACCAGTGTTATGTTATGGTTATATTTAATAATGAAAGGCTAAAATTTTTTTGCTCTCTATGATTTGCTCAATAGCATAAATCGCATAAAATGCCCAAAATAAATAAGTAAATTATTTCAAAAGCCAAATATTAATTAAAGATAATAATTTTAATAATAAACTGTTAAAACAGGTAAAATAAAAGGCGCTAGAAAAAAATAGCATGAAGGCGCTGAGGACCCCAGGAGCGTCCTTGGTACTAATGTATATTAAATTATCACTAAGAAAAATGTAATTTACATATTATAATTATTAAAAACCAGTTAAAATATGATACGAGATTATAATAATTATAGGCAACATTATTGGAGCAATTATTTTGGGTGGAAAAATCCAACGTAATATTGTACTTTTACCGCGGATACTATATATTAATTCTTTCTGAATTTGTTATACCGTTTAAAAGACTTCAAATTTCCAATATAGTGTGGGAGTTGAGACTCATCATTTTATTTAAGGCAGTTAATACATTTAACATCGCTCGTATTGATGTATATGCATTTTGGTGTGAAGAGTAATTTAAAAAACAATAATTATTATTTTTAGGTAAACGGCAAATATTAGTATAGGATATTAAAAAATTGTAGACGTGGGTACAGGGCAACGTATGTCGGGTCATCTAGTATATATATATATATATATATATATATATATATATATCTAAATCTTTTATCTTTTTTACCTTCAGACTTTGGTGTATCCGGCGTGGGCGTCCTGACCATGCCTTCAGCTCCTCCTCCTAAAAAGTCTCTTGTTTTTTCCTTCAATTCCTCGACCAAATTTTGCAGGAGACTTGCTCTTGTCCTCTGCTCCAATTTGGCGAATTTATCAGCTTTATAACAAGCATTTTCCGCGTTTATCAACTTGGTAAGAAGAAACTCTTTGAGTTCTGCACTTTTTCGAAAAACTGCCGGAGTTGGTAAAGTTGGCCCGAAGAATGGAACGTCGTCTCTGGCTGTTACACTAATTTTATATCTGAAAATGATAAAGGACAATGTAAAACTTATTTGCTTCTGTACAAGATTGCATTTAAGTAAAAATAAATACATCATATAACAATTTTGAATATTATGTTTTTACTAATATGGTAACACTCGTGAAGCACACATTTATTAGTGTCAACCATTATACACACTTATGTAATGATAAATTTTAAATTACATATTTATAATAGCAATAAAAATATGTATAATATTTAAAAACAATAATGTAATTAAAGTAATACTTCAAATATGACATGATCGGTTTGTCATTGTAATTAACATTAAGAAATGAACCTTCATTAGAGAAATGAAGTAATTGCTAATTAATAAATTCTATAATATTCGTTCACACAGTGGATTATCTTAAACAACGCCTAAACAAATATTGTTTTCTCAATTTCACTCATCATGTAATAATTGTGTTTGAAGAAATTCATGTAATTAAAATTAACATACATTCATTGACTGATGGTATTTTTTTAACTTTTTCGCTGGCGATATAATCTCATTCTTTGAACAGCTGTAATATCTGTCTTGCATAAAAAATATTTTCCATTTGAATAACTTCAAAGATTTATAGAAATTACTACCAATATAGAAATTATTTCAATGAACTTTATAAATTATATTAACAAAATACAATCGACAATTTGTTGAAATTATAAAACTTCATAAAGAAATTATAAAATTTTGAACTCATAGTTTATAAGTACTTCTGTAAATTCGATGTAATCTAATAATGTTCCTGTATTTTTTTTTCATTTTTGTTTAAAGTCGTATATACATATACATGTATATAAATTATATAAATAATTTTATTGATATTATTCAATTTATATCAACATTTTACTTCTGTATACCCAAAATAATTCTTTTTATACAATTGTTCATATATAACGGTACTTAGACCTCTGGTTGAAGCAATATTAGTATTTTATCATATTATGTAATCGAATAAATTAAATGCTTTTGTATAAATTAAGTTATGAAATATCGTACAATACATTTTAGTTAACTTTTTGTAATTACATATTAACAAACATTAATTGTAGTAGTCCAATTTTTCAAGAAACTAATTATTCATTAGCAAAGAAAGTTCATCAATTTGTTTTTCTATACGTGGCGACAATATAATATAATGTTATTAGAAGTTTTAAAGTAAAATATTTTATATATTTTATATATTAACTTTAATTATTTTAAAGTAACATTTAATTTAATTTAATTAATACTTTTAATCATTTGTAATAATTGTCATAAATATATATAACAGTTAAAATTTTATTATTAATGTTTTATTTTATATGTCATAGGTACATTAAACTTATCAAAGTCAATAATTACCAGATGAATTAAAATTTTTGAATCCAATTCAAATTTATGACCTAATATGCTATATTTTTAACCAAAAAATGTTAAAAATACAAAAAAGATCCAGTATCTTTTTGCAAAGAAAAAAATATAATAAATTTCTGACTCATTTCTTAATATCATCATTTAAAGATACTAATTATTTATTAGCAAAAAAACATGTACACGGCGCAAATGTTGCATTTGTTTTATTATTTACATTATAATTATTTAAGGAGGACAGAGTAAAAATATTCTTCTGATTCAGGCATTTTTTATTAAATCCAACCTAGTACTACGATGTAACTTTAAAATGTTTATTTATCTATGCCGATTTCCTTGTTGATACCGGTACGTATACAACGACAGATCTCTATTCACATACACGACGACTAATCACAATCGACCCGTATAGAAATGATATCATCGAGAGCGAATGACGAATCATTGGCACTCGACTCTTATCTTCCGTTGCATTTGTACGGATTTACACCCTAGTCGCGCCTAAAGAAGTTTTACTTCAAGAATGTAGAAGGTTAATAAATTTCAATTTTGTTTTCTTACCTAGTATTTGGTGTATTAGGTTCAACAGGTTGCACAACAATATAAGCGTGCAGAAAATGCGAAGCAATCATATCAGGACAAAATGGTGTAGCCTGTTCCTGAAAAACTATGGCCACGATATCGTTTCCGATATGTCGTTTCCGTTGCAACTGCTGAGGATCTCCATCTGTGTATGGTAGCATTGTACTAACATGAAACATTATTTCACGTTCACGAAAAACCTAGTAAACAAAAAAACATGGTAAATCTATCCATTATTACCAGTGTTCTAGATCCTCTTACCTCGTACAAGGCTTCTTCGCCAGTATGCCCATTCTGAATATCCAAACCGCCTCTGTACCCTTTATGATCCTTCAGCGGTATCCTTCTTCCCAACATATCCAAAAATTCGTCAAAAGCTGGCGAACTCGTCCTGTTGCCAAACAATTCCTCTTCTGTGATCTGACCATACTTTTGATACAGAACTCCGAATTTAAAAGTGGACACTATGACATGTTCATCATAACCGGCTATCAGATTTGAGGCTCTTGGGCACACCACAGGCATAAAATTATCAACGTTGAGGTTGTCCAGCAACCTAAAAAAAATAAATAATTAGGTATATTTAACCATTGTTAACTAAGGCACCGATTTTAAACAGACCGATGTTATGGCAAGGCTATGATATGCAGAACTTTCCATACAAAATTGTTCTGAATATTGTCAAAAGGCATGCGGTTGCTGCGCAGTCAGGCGTATTTCTCCGGTTGTCAGATGCAAAACCTAACGTAGAAACCGCACAAATGTCAAACTAGTGGTGTATGGCACCGTGCCTTAAGGCAAATTGCTGGAACTTCCCGCACCGTAAAGAAATATTCGAGAAATTTTAAACGTTTTCAAATATATTATTACAAATACTGTAACTTTCATTATTTTTGCTATCTTGTTATATCTGAGCAAATCAAATGTAAATCACAATTCAATTTATCTCCAGAACATTAACAATCGTCGTTTCATATCGAATTCAATTTCAAAAAAAAAAATAGTTGCCAAATTTACACAAAATTGAAAAAGTCACAGTCTAAACGCATTTGCAAATAATTCTGTGCGACATTTTCACTTATACTGTGCTTAGCTTGGCGGCATTTTCACATTTTTCAAAAGTTTTCACAAAATTCGAAAAACGCTCCAGTGCATAAACAGTGTAAACGCACTTGGGTAAACATATGTACCAGAGTGGCGCTTAGACTGTGCTTAGCCTGGGTAAATTTTTGAATTTTTGGTCCAAAATTACAAAAATATTTTATGGTAAATAGAAATAGATGTAATAATTTTTTATCCTCAAAAGCAATAGTTTTGTCAAAACAAGCAGAAAGTTTTTTAGATCATTCAAATCGGACGCTTAGTTAACACCGAAAACGCCATTTTTTGCACATTTAGCGCTGTATCTCCAAAATGGTGGGACCTGTCTTTGCCGAAAACTAATGATCTCTTCTCCCAATCATTACAAATTCTATGTTTTTTAGATCATTCAAATCCGATGCTCCGTTCTCTCAAAAACTCGATTTGTATTTTCTGCACTCTTTGCTCCGTATCTCCGTAACGGCTGGACCTGCATTTGCCAAAAACTAATCAGCACAAAAACCATTCAAATCAATTGATTCGTGCGCCCGAAAAAAATGCGGACATACAAAACATACACAAGCAAACACACACACACACACACATCCATTTTTTCTGAGGTATGCCAAAATGTTCAGAAACCTTCAAAACCTTGAGAAATGCAAAAATTTTCATTTTCGATTTTCGGCCCATTACTATAACAACCTTACGGGAAGTTAAAAAACGATGTTAGATAACAAGGTATTTCTGACCCAGCTTCATAACATACAAGTGACGTTGCAGTTTATGTGCAAAACACCTAACTACATAGCAAATACACGACATTTTAACAGTATTCAGTATGATTCAGTAGCACAATGTATGCAAGTTGGAGCGCAATATGGCCTTGCCATAACATTTTTCTGTTTTGGTAAGTTTGTTGATCTGATTTTTACCATTTTGCTATTTTTACAGGAGATGGTAAAGGTCCCAAACAGGCATTTGAGATAAGTTGGTGTGATGTTCCTGACCGCATCCTGAGAAGGACTCGTGTGTGTTCTTGATTGGCTACATTTTCTGATTTTATTGATAGCAGGATTGGCCCTAGGACGTCGTCGTGGCCTACCAGGTTTGAATGCTCCTGAAAGAAAAAAATAACTTTAGTAAATTTTTTAGCGAAAGATTAAAATATTGGTTTAAAAATATTTTGGTCAGAAGGCTATATCTCATACATTTTCCCCTTGCAGGACGTCCCTACTAATTTCTCGAGAAATTTTTAGGTCATTTATGCGTATGATAAAAATTTTCACGGAAACACACAAATCTTTTAAATCGATTTTCTCCGAGTTCTAATCTATTAATTTATTACTATCAAGAAAATGGATTTTTTTTTTTTAAAAAAATTAATTATTGGCTCTAAGCAATTTGCCAAGACACGAGCCATAAACCATTAGCTATTAGTATATGCATCAGGCGTATTTTTAATTTCTCATTCTCATCAAGCACCCCAATACATAATATAAGTTTAGAAGCACTTCAGTACTTTTTGCAAGTCTGAGTTTACTCGTCAGTAGCAATGGTTGCTTTTATATTTATTTATTTTATTTTATTAAACATTTTTTTTATTATTTACAGAACCCTCAGTCCATGTCTCTAAAACGTTCTAGGTCACAAAATGATATGGTCAATCCATCGTGGCTTCTAAAAAGGAATTCATTCGGTTTCACCTTGACGATGAACTACCGTCTGAATTACGAAACGTGTCGTTCTGACCTTATTTTAAAGGTTACAAACAACTTGAAAGACAATTGTAAGAGCTGTAAAACATGAGTATAAAAGATTTGTGAAAAAATATCTTGAGGAACTAGTGGTATCTAAACATCCTGGCCATGCCCATAATTAAGGGGCACAACTAGTGTAACCGCCTAAAAATAGGTGATTTTTGGGAATTTATATTAAAAAAACAACCTTATCAATCATTTCAAAATTTTAAGAATATATTAACACATGTTTTAAGAATACATAGTAAAATTTTTGAAGAAAAGAATGAAATATTTTTTAAGTTATCGTCGATCTCCAACGGCGCGACAAAAAAAGGCCCTTCACTGCTGCAGTGATTCCGGCCTTCTACGTGGATGAAATTTAAAAAAAATCCTCGTTAAACTAGATAATATTGTCTGTAAAATGAACTACGATAAGGAAAAAAAACAAAAATTGACAAAATGGCGGCGTTTTTTTAAAAAAAAGTCGAATTTTACCCAAAATTTTGGTTGTTTTTGGACAGCCAAAATTCGATTTTTGATCCAATCAAAAAATCGATAGTTTATTTTACGGAGAACTATATATAGAACATGTAAAAAAAATTGATAGTGATCGGATCATTTGTTTTTGAGTAATCGCTGCAGCAAATTCGGAAAATGCTGTTTCGAGAAAAACGCGTTTAAAGATAAAATGAACCTCATACTATACATATACTCTTCAAATGGCTGTGACTCAAAAACTATTTAAGATATCGATTTAAAATTTTGGTATGTTATTTTTAAATATATAACCTATCGAAATATGGAAAAATTGAAAATTCGATTTTTTGAAAATTTTATACTAGTTGTGCCCCTTAAGTCGTTCAAGATTCATGTTTTGTTTTGAAAGAAATTAGCGTTTTATATGTCTTCATCCAGACATATAATTCTTTTTCCCGGTCCCTTGGCGGAAGTGCGGTTCGGTGATTTTAACGAATATATCTTCAACTGAAGTCTTTGTTGTAATTTATGCCCACATTTGCGATTTTATGAGGAGCCCCTCTAAGTTCATTCATTCTCTGAGCCGTGCGAACCGACAACGATAAAACCTTTGGCGTGAAAAAACACGTCTTGCAATGATTCACCTGAGGTAACATGGAGAATTGAATTCTTTGTTCACTTAAAACAATCTATGCTAAGGTACTTAGGAATGACTAATAAGTACTACTGATAATTGTAGGATCGCCCGAGGAAAAGGATTTTTGAACAAAACGGTCCCAGAAACCTCCCTCAAAGTCCTTAAAATTGACTTCAACAATTACTGCTGACATAGTAGCATAGATGATTAAGACAGTCACACAAAAAGATCTACCAAATTGGTTTATTTTTATCATAATCTGTATTGGTAGGGAGATGTGCTGATTAGTCTTAGGCAAAGGCAGGTCCAGCCGTTACGGAGATACGGAGCAAAGAGTGCAGAAAATACAAATCGAGTTTTTGAGAGAACGGAGTATCGGTTTTTAATGATCTAAAAAACATTCGATTTATGATAATTGGGAGAAGAGGTGATTAGTTTTTGGCAAAGACAGGCCCCCCCCCCATTTCGAAGATACAGAGCTAAATGTGCAAAAAATGGCAGTTTTTGAGTGAACTAAGCGTCCGACTTTCTGCTTGTATTGATAAAAAATTATTACATCTTTTTATATTTCCCATAAAATATTTTTGTAATTTTGGATTAAAAATTCAAAAAATTGCCCAGGCTAAGCACAGTCTAAGCGCCAGTCTGGTACAAATGTTTTCGCAAGTGCGTTTACACTGTTTATGCACTGGAGCACTTTTCCAATTTTGTAAAAACTATTGAAAAATGTGAAAATGCCACCAAGCTAAGCACAGTATAAGTGAAAATGTCGCATAGAATTATTTGCAAATGCGTTTAGACTGTGACTATGCGGGAGCACTTTTTCAATTTTGTGTAAATTAGGCAACTATTTTTTTTTTTGAAATTGAATTCGTAATGAAATGACGATTGTTAATTGTTCTGGATATGAATTGATTTATGATTTACATTTGATTTGCTCAGATAGAACAAGATAGCAAAAATAATGAAAGTTACAGTATTTGTAATAATATATTTCAGAACGTTTAAAATTCCTCGAATATTTCATTATGGTACGGAAAGTTCCAGCAATTTCCCTTAAGACACGATGCCATACACCACTAGTTTATCTTAACATCATTTGCAGAAAGTTGTGAGGACGTCTAGCAAAGACAGCGTATAAGAATGTCCAAAAAGGGTTTACCTAACATCAACTACAATTTGCCTTAAGGCACGATGCCATGCACCACATTCTTACAATCCTTATATTTCGATAAAAATTATATGTACTGAAATTTGCTTTAATTGTTACTAATACAACGTTAGTAGTAATAGTAGTCCATAGATACGTAAAGATTAAAAATCTAAGGGGCCGTTCATTAATCACGTGAGGCTTTTGAGGTTCGACAAAAAATCACGAAAAATCACGTGGGAAAGAGAGAGGTTTAGTAAGATATCACGTGTATTTATCTTTACCTAAATTTTCAAAAAAAACAAAAATTTTACGTAACTAAAAATACACATGATGTTTGGTAGGGTACAAATATCACGACGTATATCCAAAGGAGAGGAGAGTTCAAAAATTCCTAAAAAGTCGATCGCGTGACTAATAAATGCCCTCTAACGAATAATATAAGATTTTTATATGAAGCATTATCAAAAAAAAAATTTTATCACATAAGATTTTGATAAAATTGTAGGTCTTCTAGAATATATATTAAAATTACTCTTAATTACCTCATATTGAAATTGAGGAAACTACAAAGTGATACGGTCATCCTGTACATTTGAAAATTACTTTACAACAATATATATATATATATATATATATATATATATATATATATATAAACATGTATGTGTAAAGGTACATAATGAAGTACCTAAATTGAATTATATTATGTGAACTTTCTCATAGAATAGTAAATTTCTCACAGTTTATTTTAGCGGAAACAATGGCCAAAATGGCTGACTTTACCGGACGTAGATTAAATGTAATTTATATATATATATATATATATATATATATATATATATATGTATATATATATATATAAAGTTCTGTCTCAAAAACTGGTTCAACAAATTTTCCTACTTCGTTTTTTCTTTACCTACAGACAAGTATGTTCTGTTTTTAATATATTAAATCAGCACTATTATTTTCCACAAAATATTTAATTAATTTATGAATTATATATTTATATAGATATATATATATATATATATTTATATATAAACATATATATATATATATAAAGTCTTTTTTATAAAACTATATATCGGCCTTGCAGAAAAAGCATTTTACGTTCGTATAAAGTGCAAAAAGCTTCCTTATGTGAATTTAACGATTTGAAAGCTTCATAAAATCATCTTAAGGAAAAAGTAATAAATTCAATTTAATATCTTATTAATATATTCTACACTCAATTCAATAATAATAAATTAAATATAAATAGACAACAGACGCAAAACTCAATTTAAAAAAAAAATTCATTATTTATAACTCAAATTATAATGGAGATATGCTATGTTGTGGGTCTATCTTCATATGAACTGTCACAAAATTATGTTTTTTCTGTACGATCAGGCGTTTCACACATAAAACCTAACCTACAAAATGCACAAACGTGAAATAAAAATTTTATCATAAGGGCAACCTTCTGATGTCTCATTGATAACACATATGTGCAGTTAGGTTTTTACGAAATGCATAGCTTTTTGACCAATTCATACGAAGATAGACGCACAACATAGCGTTACCACAACATTTTTAACTTCCCTAAGGAGAAGTTTATGTTTTCATAAAAAAATCTGATTCGCTAATTTTATGTTTTCTCGACGTTTCAAGCCATTCTGAATCGAATGAGACCGAATTTGGAAAAAGTATGTGTGTGTATGCGTGTATGTGAACAGATTTTTTGTCGTAAATCGACGTTTTCTCGAAAACGGTTGGACCAATTTCAAAAATTTAAAAGCCATTCGATGTATTTCGATGAGGACTAGCATTTCTGAGTCTTTTGTGACGATCTGCCAAACCGTTTCTTTGTAATTTGAAAAATAGTGTTAAACCTTTCGTCCACATTTAAGCTCAAACTACCGAATCGATTTTAAAAAATCAAAAACTGTTCGAAAGATATTAGTTGGGAATGATACTGATTAGTTTTAGGTGAAGATGTATCGAGTCGTTTCCTTGTAATTAACTGTTGAAAAAAAAATTTGAGCCGATTTTTATGGAACTTTTTTTGGCGATAAATATCATGGTCTTATATAACTTACTGAAATATTACGGCCTTACGACAAGTAGTATAATTTTAAAAATTTATCAAAGTTTGAGAAAATATATAGTTTTTTTGACATACAATTAGAAGATTTACTCGGTAAAACGATAGTTGTACTTGGTCTTTTAGAAAATACTCCGAGTTAACGTGTACGTTCGTTTTTAATTATGTGTAATAGATCCACTCGGAATACTTTTAATCTCTCATAAATTAATTTGTTTATTATTGATTAAGTCGATTATTTACACATATCGGGAAGTTCATGTAACTTGCCTCAAGGCTAAATACCAATACCAACTAGTTATTTTATCCAAAAATCGGCTCCTAAGTATTGCTATATAAAATAATTGACAATTATTATTTTGCAATTTTTGCAATATATCTAAATTTCCAGGCTCCATCTATCGTCATCGTCGTCGTCGTCTTCGGTGTTCATTTATGGGTCCCGTTATGACCCTCGATAAGTACTGATTTCTGTGCCAAGGTCTAAACTATGCCATTATATGATTTGGTTTCGAATTCAATATAATACTGGATTCATAGTGAATACTCATCGTGATGAATTGTAGTTTTGTGATGACTTTCTAATAAAATTGGGTTTTTGGGTATTTTGTTCGAATTCACTGAACGATTAGAGCAGTGGAGATCGATGATACAAAGAGTTGTAAACGAATTTTTTTTTAAAAAAAGTTAGTTTTTAGATTGCAGATTTATATACAATTTGCTTGCAAGTAGAGTTGTTTTAATAAATTTTTTAATTAGGCCCCAAAAATGGATTTGAAGCAAACTTAACCCATTCGCTTGAGATTATTAAATACAAAGCTAGATATGTATTATAAAACGAAATAAAAAATATTAAAGAATTTAATTTATATTATGTACGTTTCGACACTGTATGCGTGTCATCATTCAGCAAGTTTAGCAAGTCCTAAAAAATGTTTTTTTTAACTAACTTTAGTGCTTTAAGTTTTTTTGCCCTGGATTTCTTGAAAGATTTCACACACATCAATACGAAAAGTATATTTAATAAAGCATGATTTCTACTAACTCTTTTTCTGTTATACGAATAGTCTGCTAATTATTTTCAAATTTGTTCCAATATAATAAATATATATATACATATTAAACTAGAGAAAACCTACTTTTAAATTATTTTATAAAAACCAATGAAGCCAAAATTTAAAATAATTTTAATAAAAATGCGAACGACGGAAATAAAACAAAAAATACAAATACAAATATTAAAATTATCCACAAAATATAAAATTTGAATATATAACTAATAAAAATAATATATTAACAGCTCTCAGAATTGAAACGACGTGACGTAATAAATAGCAACCCAAAAGGCTGCCCTATATCTATGTGATAAATTTATTATTACAATTTCTGTAACTCTGATAATTTTTTTTATTAATTTTATAGATTGTAAAGTCTTTCTTGGACTAAAAAAAAGTTGATAAACACTGTTTTATACCAAACAAGAATCATACTTTGGAAAAAACATGAATAATAATGTTATTAGACAGGTGAGTCATTTTTTACAGATTATTTAAATAAATAATACGAACATAAATGTGAAAGTATATGAATAAATTTATTCAACACTCTTTGATATTTCTGAAAATAATGTGTTTTAATTCAATTTATTATTTAAACTAGTGGTGTATGGCATCGTGCCTTAAAGCAAATTGCTGGAACTTCCCGTACTGTAATGAAATTCGAGGAATTTTAAATAGATCATAATAAATACTGTAACTTTCATTATTTTTGCTATCTTGTTATATCAGAGCAAATCAAATGTAAATCAAATCATAAATCAATTTATCTCCAGAACATTCAATTTCAAAAAATAGTTGCATTTTTACACAAAATTGAAAAAGTGCTCCCGTATAGTCACAGTCTAAACGCATTTGCAAATAATTTTGTGCGACATTTTCACTTAGACTGTGCTTTGCGGCGGCGTTTTCACATTTTTCAATAATTTTCACAAAATTGAAAAAGTACTCCCGGACAGAAACAGTCTAAAACGCACTTGGGTAAACATTTGTACCAGGGTGGCGCTTAGACTGTGCTTAGCAAAGGTAATTTTTGAGTTTTTTAATCCGAAAAAATACATTTTTATAATTTACATAAAATTGAAAAAAACGCTCCTGTATAGTCACAGCCTAAACGCATTTGCAAATATATTTGTACCAGGTTGTCACTTAGACTGTGCTTAGTCTGGGTGATTTTTTGATTTTTAACCCGAAAAAATACATTTTTATAATTTACAAAAAATTTAGTAAGTGCTCCTGTACAGAAACAGTCTAAACGCACTTGGGTTAACATTTGTACCAGAGTGGCGCTTACACTGTGCTTAGTCTGGGTAATTTTTTGAATTTTTAACCTCAAAAAATTACATTTTTATAATTTATTTATCTAGAATTAAAATTAATAACCGAATCATTTTCGATATTCAAAAAAATATATTTTTTGGAAAATAAAATAAAATTGTATCCATACAAAACACACACACACGTACTCAATTTTTCTGAGGTATGCCAAAATGTTCAGAAACCTCTAAAACGTGAAGATATGCAAAAATTGTCATTTCCTATTTTTGGACGACTACTATAACTTGCCCTACTGGAAGTTAATAAATATAAAAGTTTTCTAGTATTTTTAGTAATACTAGAACATACATAAGCCCTCTTTAGGGTATCATATCTTTTATCTTATCCGAGTATCTTATTTCGCATAAAACATACAATTCACGTAACAGATGCGAATGCATTTCGTGTACTTTTTTTCTGTTTTCGAAATAAAATGCAGAAAGTGCCGCCGCCTGCCGAGAGAGGAGGTTGCACACGTCGCATATCAATTACGTGCTCATGTGCCCGAGTCGAACTCGGTCGGATCATGTCGGGCATTTTGCCAACAAATAACGACACAAGTCATTCTGTATTATTTTGTAAAGGATAGAATAAAAACTAGGTGTAAGTGAATCGATTCAATTGATAATAATTTGATTTGTTTGCGATCTACCTATCTACCTATCTACATGTCTACCTGTCTACCCTCCGGTCTACTAGTCCTCGTCAATACACGCAAATGTTTTTTGAATCATTCAAATCGGACGTCCGTTCTCTCACAAACTCAATTTTCATTTTTGCACTTTTTGCTCCGTACTTCCGAAACGTCTAGACCTGCCTTGTACAAAAACTAGTCAACACATCTTACCATCAACACGAATCAAATGCCTTTTGAATTATTCAAATCGGTTGATCGGTGCTCCCGCAATTGTCGATTGAAGATTGTATCCGCACATACTTACATTGTGCATACTATAAACACACACACACACACGTTTGAACTCACTCTGAGTCGACGTTTTCTCAAGAACGGCTGAACCGATTTCAAAAATTTAAAAGCCATTCGATGTATTTGGATAAAAACTAGTGTTGGTTAATTTTGGGCGTCGATCTGCCAAGTTGTTTCTATATAATTAGCAAAAAATGTAAAATTGTACGTACAATCTCATAATTCTGAACGGATTTTAAAAATTCAAAAACTGTTTGAAAGGTATTGGTTGGGAATTGTGCTGAAGATCTGCCAAGCTATTTCTTCGTAATTATGTGTTGTAAAATATTTTTTTGACAATTTTTATGAACGACCATAGATTTCGTCTAAATTATGTCAACTACTATTAGAAAAGAATAGATAGTGAGGTACTCTTCACGTTAAAAATTCTTTTTAACCCTGTGATGTCATTAAGGGGCACAACTAGTGTAACCGCCTAAAAAAGAGGTGATTTTTGGGCATTTATATTAAAAAAACTACTTCATCAATCATTTCAAAATTTCAGGAATATTGTTATACATGTTTTAAGAATACATAGTAAAATTTTTGAAGAAAAAAATTAAATATTTTTTAAGTTATCGTCGATCACCAACGGCGCGACAAAAAAAGGCCCTTCACTTCTGCAGTGATTCCGGCCTTCTACGTGGATGAAATTAAAAAAAAAATCGTTAAACTAAATGATATTGTCTGTAAAATGAACTGCGATAAAGAAAAAAATCAAAAATTGACAAAATGACGGCGTTTTTAAAAGAAAAGTCAAATTTTACCCAAAATTTTGGTCGTTTTTGGACTGCCAAAATTCGATTTTTGATCCGATCAAAAAATCGATAGTTCATTTTACGGAGAACTATATATAGAACATGTAAAAAAAATTTGATAGTGATTGGATCATTTGTTTTTGAGTAATCGCTGCAGCAAATTCGGAAAATGCTGTTTCGAGAAAAACGCGATTAAAGATAAAATGATCGTTATACTATATACTATATATATACTCTTTAAATGACTGTGACTCAAAAACTATTTAAGATATCGATCTAATATTTTGGTATATTATTTTTAAAGGTATAACCTATGGAAATATGGAAAAATTGAAAATTCGATTTTTTGAAAATTTCACACTAGTTGTGCCCCTTAATACTGTCAATTACTGCTAGAAAAGAGCAGAAAATAAAGTACTCCTCGTAGATTGACATATTTATCCAAGATATTTTATCTAAATTTTTTATCTAAATATTTCTACTCACCCTTCCAACAAAGAATCGCCTATAACACTTGGCAGTATCATCCGTCTCAAATTTGCTCCTCCAAGAACTGACAACATGCAAAGGCGTCCTAGAATCACTCAATTCATGATCGGTGCCATCAACCCAATAACCACCATTTGGTGGAAGAACCACCATCGGCAGTTGGTTCTGAGACGAATTCCTCCTGTCATGAAGGACTGCCCTCAGAGCCCTTTGAGACGACGTCAGGAGCCCTGGTGAACTTTGGTTAGATTGCAGATGGTGAGGCTGTAGACTTTGGTGGTTTTGGGAATTTGGTAGAGGCGGTACCCTTTGGTCGTCTGATCTGGACACCTGGGAAAAAAAATTGGAAGGTTAGTACTAGGGTTCATACAAAAACCGACATTTCAGAAAACCGGTTTTCGAATTTTAATTTTACTAAAAAACCGGTTTTCGAATTTTATATAGAAAATAAATTTTTGCTCGAATATTCTGTAATTTATCCGTAAATTTAGTGTAATTTAGAGCAGAATTTGACTGAATTTATTTATTGTTTAATTTTATAGATAGTAAACAAAATTATTTTAATTTTAATTAGTAGAACTAAAAAGTAATAGTTTATCATGATTAAATAACTTTGAAAATAATTATTCGTTATTCATGCATCATTTTCACATATAAGAATAAAAATATTTTTATGATAGTGAAAGGAATGTTTTCGAATAAATAAAAATAATACATTTTTAAATAAAAAACATTCATTGAATTAAAAAAAATAAAAAAATATTAGATACCTGTTGATACATACTTGTTAATATCAATTTTAGTTTTAAAAACAATTAAGCTAAACCAGGGTATTGTCTGTTCCGAACAAATTTAATTATTAACATCCCGTAGGGTAAGTTATAGTAATCGCAAAAAAATCGAAAATGAAAATTTTTATATATCTTTAAGTTTCAGAGGTTTCTAAATATTTTGGCATACCTTAGAAAAAATGGATGTGTGTGTGTGTATGTGTGTGTGTGTGTGTGCATGCATGCATGTGTGTGCAGATACAAATTTTCGTCGACGATTTCGGGAACACGGATGAAGCAATTTGAATAATTCAAAAAACATTCGATTCGTATTGATAAGGAGACGTGCTGATTGGTTTTTGGCAGAGGCAGGTCTAGCCGTTCCGAAGATATGGGGCAAAAAGTGCCAAAAACGGAACCTCAGTTCTTAAAAGAACGGAGCGTCCGATTTGAATAATTCAAAAAATATTTTACTTGTATTGACAAGATGAAAAATTGGGCAAATTTTCATGGAGGCAGGTCTAGCGGTTTCGAAGATCTAACGAAAAAAGTAAAAAAAAATGCCATTAGGTCAAAAATGATCATTAGACATATGCACATCAAATTATCAGATATTTTATAGAGATTTTTACAATAAGTATGAATTTTGTTAACATTCCTATGGGTTCCGTACCAATGCTTATCCGTTAGACGGCGACGCGGCGCTTACGCGCTTTGACATTTCGTCTCTATGCAGTTAAAGCAGTACGATTGCTTTGAAAACAAAAGTTCAGAACTTCCAAACTATGCCAAAATAAAGAAAACTTATTTTTTTTCAAACATTTTTTTTTTGTTTCTCAAAAATCTAATTTTTTCGAAGTAAAATTTTTTCCAAAATGATAATCGCTTTTAAAAAAATAATAATTTTTGGTACGGGAAGTTCCAGCAATTTGCCTTAAGGCACGATGCCTTATTTGCCTTAAGACAGAATTCTACTTACAGCTAGTTTTTCTTCGAGAAAAAGTTACATTGATTTAAATTAATGTATACACTGGTATAAAAATCTAAATTAATATATACAAAACCTTTCTGGAAAACATTGCAGACTGATAAGATATCAAATGCTATTGAAACTATATGATTTCAAGAATCAAAACGCTTTCATCTATCTTTTATATTTGGCCATATTTATCATTTTCCACTTATATAGTGAAAACCGACTTTTTTCACGTAAAAACCGGTTTTCGAATTCCATAATTTTCGCCAAAAAAACGGTTTTTGAAAACCGACAAACCCTAGTTAGTAGTTAGTTAGTACATGTTGTAATTAAGAGTTGTAGTAACGGTGTGTGGTTTTAATGAAGTAGTTTTGTGTTCATTAGTTTGTTTTATTGTTTTATGTGTGCGCAATTGTTATTAAAGAAAAATTGGAGTGACTGATGCATGAATTAATTGTTTTTTTAATTGAATCTAGAGAAGTTGTTTTAGTAATTTATGATCCATATGAAGTAATTCTGTCGTAACAGAGCTCATAAAATAGGGTTGTCATGGCAACGCTCTCTGATGCTTGTTCTTGGTAGAGAATATTCTAAAAATGTCTGTCTATTTGCCGTGCGATCAGGCGTATTTTACATATAAACAAAGCAAGGAAGAATGTATGATAACTGCATCATCAAAGATTCTGTTCATAACATTATTCTTTTCTTGATCTATTATCAATCATCTTTTACCAGCTGATCGAGGATAAATATCATTTACGATTTGCAAAAGAGCAATAATTTTTATGCTCCTCTTGTATGTATTTTTTATGATGATTGATAATATCATAGAACATAAAACCGTAAGCGATTTCACCGTGAGACTCAAATGTTATTAATTTACGCTTTCATATCATTTTGCTTGATTTTATTACTCGAGTACATTTTTACACATTCTATCATACAGTAAAATGATACACTCTGTAGGGATCAGAAACATGGACTCCGGACATATATATATACTAGCTGTAATAATTTTTTATCCTTAAAAGCAATTGTTTTAACAATAGAAGCAGAAAGATTTTTAGATCATTCAAATCGGACGCTTAGTTCACTCAAAAACTGGCATTTTTTGCACATTTAGCTCTGTATCTTCGAAATGGCTAAATCTGCCTTTGCGAAAAACTAATCACCACTTCTCCCAACCATTACGAATTGATTGTTTTTTGGATCATTCAAATCGGATTCTCCCATCTCACCAAAACTCGATTTCTATTTTCTGCACTCTTTGCTCCGTATCTCCGAAACGGATGGACCTGCCTTTGCCAAAAACTAATCAGCACATCTCCCTATCATTAGGAATCGAATGTATTTTTGAACCACTCAAATCGGTTGATCCGTGCGCCCGAAAACGTGGACTAAAAACTGTATCCATACACACCCACACATCCATTTTTTGCAAGGTATGCCAAAATGTTCAGAAACTTTTAAAACGTGAAGATATGCAAAAATTTTCAATTTCGATTTTTTGGACGATTACAATAACTTACCCCACGGGACGTTAATTAACCAGTTACCTGGGATTGACGAATATTCTCGTCATGAAGTTATTTTTATTGACGAGTATACTCGTCATGCTTATAAAACAGTAACGTTTTGTTATTTAAGCTGAAAATTTTGAAAAAAATCAACAAAATATATTCTAAAATGCGAAGTTGTTAGGATATTTTGAGTATGTATGTATAAAACAGTAGTAGCATTTTTCAGTTTTGTAAAATAAACCAAAATTTTATAAAATTTTTAGTTAAAAATATATCAATTGGAGTTGAAAAATAAATCAATAGGGCATTCATGGTATGAATACATACTTATTCACGTGGATTTACACTTAAATTTAGATTTGTTCATTAATACAGCCATGTAATAATAGTTTAATAATCTGGAAAATACAACTGGAATTTCCTTTAAGACGCAATGCAATACACTACTAGTTAAATTTTAACTGTACATGGATATCAGTGCAGGTAGATTTTAAGGTCACTTAGGCACTTATAATTTTCAGATTCTAGGAACCAAAATAAGATACTTTGCTGAAGAAACCATACCTATAAAGTGAATTCTGATGTTCCGTGCATCGAGCCAAAAATAAGGGTTGAATTTTTAAAAAGGTGGGTTGAAAGTTAGTAGGGGTCATACATTTGAAAGCAATTGGGACACTCTAAATGGGTCAAAATAGAATTTTTCAACCCCTATTTTTGATCAGAATTATTTTTTATCAGGATTTATTTTAGAGATATGGTTTCTTCGGCAAAGTATTTTATTTTGATCCCTAGTATCTGAAAATCATATGTGCCCAAGCGACTTTTTTTTACCCATACAAATCCACCCGCTCTATAGGATATGTATAAAAATATTGTTGTTTTTTAGAACTTTTTGTACTATATATTTTAAAATAGTGCGGTTCATTGATCGCGTGGTAAAATGTAAATCATGCGCACACACACACACACACACACACACACATATATATATATATATATATATATATATACGAGTATATATATAAATTTGTATCGTGTGTATGTTTTTCTTACATTTCGTATCGCGTGCCAGTGGCCACTTAACCGATTTTGATTTGAATAATTTGCCTCAGATATTAACTTTGATATATGGGTACCTCTGGAACTCCATTCAGCTAACCCAAGGGCTACCGCCCCCAAGGCTAAGGTCATTATTCTTCTGCTGCCTTACGGTGTTATTAACTTTTATTTTATTATACAGGAAAATATTTGCATAGTTGCGTGAAGATAATGGTGGATGCATGAAATTGTTTTTTGGTGCACTAAAATATCTTGCCCACGCTAATTATCGAAATATTTTTACAGGGAATAAAATTCTATATATTAGGGTGGTCCTTAATATTGCCATTTTTAATTTTCCTTGCTCCCAAGGACTCAAATGGTTCCAAATTGATAACAAACAATTATCTGAAAGTTTTAGCTCTTGATATTAACTTTTAGATAGTGCGCAATTCAGTCGAACTTTGTATGGAAATAGCATGGAAAAATTTTGAAAATTAAAAAAAATATTTTAGGTATAACTTAGCGACAAATGAATGAGTTTTATTCATTCATTTGTTCGCTAAATTACATCTTAAAACATTTTTAAAATTTTTGAAATTTTTTCCATGCTATTTCCATACAAAACTTTGATTGAATTGCGCTCTATCTAAACGTTAATATTAAGAGCTAAAACTTTCAGAGAATTGTTTTTTATCTATTTGGAACCATTTGAGCCACTGGGAGCAAGGAAATTCGAAAATGAACATTTTAAGGACCACCCTAATATATATATATATATATTTATATATATGTCTTCTATTTAATTATTTCTATTATCGAATGGGGTTCGCAATAACCGGGTTATTCGTCAGGGGGGTGACTTTGACATAATTTCGGGTTTTCGAGTTCATCTTCCTGATTTCGTAATGTCTACAAATTGATGGGCGACCTTCTAGGGGAATTTCGTGGCGCCCTTTCCGGCAACTTAATGAATAAATTAGGACATACGTGATGCAAAACGTTTATACAAT